TTTCCCATTTTCTTTCTTTTTTTTGAAATATATACTTTAACACTTTTGAAAAATTTTACCTACCGTATGCACTAGTTCTATTCACACATTTATATCGTTAAACTTTTTGTCATTGTTAACATTCTAATTAAATGAAATATGCAAGTGATAAAATGATCACACCTTTATTATCTACATAATTAAAATCCATTTTTAATTATCTAGGAAAAATGTATGTAGGTGTGTATGTGTGTATGTATGTATGTATGTGTGTGTATGTTGTGTATGTATATGTGTGTGTGTGTGTGTGTGTGTGTGTGTGTGTGTATGTTCCACTCTATTTGCTAACTCTTATGGGTTAATTTTGGCTGGCACTTTTTTTTAAGAATTTATTGGAAATTTAAAAGTTTAAAATTGATAATAATAGAATAAAAAGGAAGTAATTTATAAAAGTTGAACATTTTGCCCGCCTTTTTCCAATCTTATAATCTTATTTGATATCCTTATCCTATTGTTAATCTGAAGAAATGTGTTGTTATTATTACACATCATTTACTATCATCATCATCATCATCATCATCATCATCATCATCATCATCAATCATCTTCATCATTATCATTATCATTGCTATTGTTGTCATCATGTGAATCATATCATAAAGCATACTTTTTTTATGCATACTGAATTATTATTTATGTTGAAAATTTTCCTTTATACAAACCAACTATTCATTGTTATTAGTTTATTGAAGAATTTAAATATTTGATGACAAAAAATGTTTCGGATAAAAAGCATTTTTAGATTTCATTGAATTGCTATTTTATAAGTAATGTATTGAGGAAAAAAGGGAGAGAGAGAAAGGAAGAGAAAGAGGAAGTAGAGAGAGAGAGAGAGAGAAGGAAAGAGGAGAGAACAAAAAAACGGATGGAATTTGAATTAATGGACGAGAAAGAAGTGAAAAAAAAAAAAAAAGACCGATAGATGAAAGCAGTAAGTGGTATAAATATTTCAAGTGCCTCTTTTTTCAATTTCTCCAAATCTCTCTCTATCTCTCTTTCTTTCCTTCTCTCTCTCTTTAAAAATTAAAAAAAGGAAAAAAATCTATGAATTTTATTTTTAACGATGTGTGTTTCAAAATTACCCTTACCAAATTGCCATTTTAACGTATTCCATGTAAAGAGAGAGAGAGAGAGAGAGAGAGAGAGAGAGGAAGGAAGAAAGAAGAGA